AGAGAGAGAGAAATGTATCTTCCTGCTTCCTTGGGAAGGATTCATTCTCATTTTGCAATTATCAAACGGCAGGCCAGAGCTCTCTCTCTCTCTCTCTCTCTCTCTCTCTCTCTCTCTCTCTCTCTCTCTCTCTCTCTCTCTCTCCAACTCTCCGCGGTGCTATTTTGCAAGACGAGAGTGAATCTCGCTTAAAGATCCCAGGCAATGCCAGTGCCAGAAAAAATAAAAATAAAAAAAAATCTGAAAACAATCTGGCATGCAGAATTGTTAACCAAACATCTTTTGTTCTTTTTTAATTTAATAACACATATCATGTATTCGTATAGCCGGGATTTTGCCCGAGGGTGACGATCTGCATCGATTGATCCGCATGCTGTCTTTTTTTTTGGGGGGGGGGGGACGGTTTGGGGCTCCTATTTGCTATCAGAGTCCTGGTTTGTCACTAGCCAATCTCTCTCTCTCTATATACTAATAAATTAATAAATTAGTAATAAATTAATAATACTATACTTAAAGCCTTAAAGGGTAAATACTATTTCCTCTGTGCTATTAGGGCCATGGTTTGTCACTACCCTATATATATATATATACACATTATTTTCATGTATATTATTTTTAATTTATTATATATATACTATACTCACCTCTCCCTGCCTGCTACATTCGCTGTACATTAGAGAGTGAGATTAACCAAAATCATATTACACCTTTCTTTTCTTTGTAGAAATTGCTTTCCTCCCACTTAAACGACCTGCACGTCCTAAAGTTGTGCCCGTAAGCAAGCCACGATTTCAGGAAATGTACGGGCCACTACAGGAGCGCCCAAATTCATCCGACTCGAAACATTTCTACTCTTATTTTTTCCCACGGCCGATAGCTGGGCCAAGTACCTCCCGCATTTTTCGTACCCCCCCCGGGGTCGAATGAATATGGACGGGACGGGCAGATCGATTCGGCTACCCCGCGTTAACGGACGCAACAACTGGTTGGTACCGCTGGTTCAAGTTTAACCAGTGGTTTTACCAATCACATCCCTAATTGAAATTAAAAAAAAAAAAAAAGAAACTAAAAGCACATTGGAGGGGAAAAATCCGAAAAAATAAATAAAAATTGGGCACCTATTCTTCCTTTCTAAACCGTCTGAAGGAAGCCATCCAACATCATCCGCTTGGTTTACCAACCAATCCCCCTTTTTTTTCCCCTTCTTTTTTATTTTCACATTGATGTCCAGACAATGACCAAAAAAAAAAAAAAAAAAAAAAAAAAAAAAAAAAAAAAAAAAAAAAAAAAAAAAAAAAAGACATTGCTGTGCAGAGAGAGCCAGTTTAGTGCAGGTGATTCACAATTTTTGTATTTTACTCATCTGCTTCCAACTTGAAGTGGAGTTCGAACTCAGCACCTGGTCCGTATTTCAGCAGTATTCAGAGGTGACAGATTGACAGTGTGTACTCACTGAGCTTAGGCTAGTTGGTCCTATCTGCTCTTTTACCGAGCACTCTGTTGCTCGAAGTGGTATAACTTTGTTTTTCTAGATAGCGTGCCA